TATTTCAAGAGCACCATTTGAACTTGGAGCCACGAGTCTCCGAGCGCACAAATCAAGTGTTGCCGCTGGACCAATGAGAATGAAGCGCTGAATGTATATGTGGCAATATGTACAATCTGTGCGCGCGAACACACACACGCACACGCACGCATGCAGCCATCACATCATTCATTGATATCGGCGCGCACAGGCAGCATGATAAAAGATGCATTGGAAAGCCCCCGGATATGTTTTCCTCCTTGCGCGCATGACGAGTATTGTTTTTGTCTCTGTCGCAATTTATGAGCGTTTTGTTCCCCTGAATGAATAGAAGCGCTTTATCAGACGCTTTGACCGATGCTTGACGCCGATACTGCTGAGAATGACAGGATTTCATGTTCCTGTCAGACAGTCTCGAGGTCAATTCATTTTACAGCGATCAAGTATGATCACAAAGTCATGAAAGGCCGATCGCAGCCCGATGACTTCTTCCGTATTTTCTTGCAGGAGTCAGACCATGTGCTTCAACGTTCTGCCGGCCTTGTGTCTTGAGTAGAACGCTTGGCCGTGTTTTCACTTGCGCGAGTCTCCCTGAAAGTTGTTGACTGGCGGCCTCGACCCCATCGGGGAGCCTGATTCGGAAGGTTTCCCGACCCGGTCGAAGTAAAAAAAAACAAAACAAAAAACATAATTGTCTGATTAAAAATCCTACTTTGCGGTTTTCACCTTTCGCCGGGGGTTTCGGGTCCCCATTAAGTGCGAAAAACGAGGGATTATGGTTTTTTTTTTTTTTTTTTTTTTTTTTTTTATCACACTGTTGTCCAGAAATCAAACGGATAGCTCAGGTTCCACTGCCCGCTCACGGACCCCTGTCATCACATGAAAATGGCAACAAGTCACGCCATGCAAAGCCGTGATTAATTTGTCTGCATTGTTTGGACAAAATGACTTTTTACAGAGGGCATCTTGAGAATTTTTACGTGGGACCAGTAAGTCATTGTTTTTACAGTCAGGCTCTCAGATTGTCTTTGCGCTCATAGTGAGAAAGAATAACAAGTGCGAGTGTTATTGGAGTCCAACCTACTCCAGGGCTTTGGGGCTATTAATGGCAGTATGACAACTATTGTGTTGCACAAAGGAGATGTGGCCTTTTACTACCGAGCATCAACACTGCCACTTTGTTGAAGGACACCCTGGCCCATTCCTTCATGTCGAGGGGACACAAACAGCACGATAAATATCCCACCTTCATGTCAACAGATGAAATGACATTCATCCCATCCGCTTTCCGATCCGCTTGATCCTCACAAGGGTCGGCAAAAAAATGGCAACAGTCGCCTGTCATTGATTATCCGTGAGTGGAGAGTCAAAGCTTAATTTGCTGTGTTGTGACAAAGTGCAGGTGCATGCGTGCGCATAAATGCAAAGGCCCGCCGGGGGAGTCTCGCAGTGGATGTGGGCTTTGTTCGGAAGCACGACTTTTTTTTTATTTCACCAATAAAATGCTTCTTCGCCCTTTAGTGTGTCGACTCATATGACAAATGTTGAACTCGGAGCACCTTGTGGTATTCCAAAAGAAATTCGACGTTCTAATTTTAAGATAAGATAAGATAAGATATGATTTATTTGTCCCACACTGGAGAAATTTACAGTCTACAGCAGCAAGATTTCACAGAGGAACCGACATTCCTGACTTAATTGACAAGGACGCCTTGCCAAGCAATTGTTGTGTTCCACAAGCAAACTCCTCCCCCAACGTATCTTCGCTCCAATTCCAACAAAGTCTGCCGCGGGCATCCACAGCTCCTCGGGTCGAGAATTTTTGGACATATAAAGCTCAGGGCGGACGGTAGAGCGCCGCGGTTGAAAATCAATAGCGCACGCCAACAATGACAAGAGTCAAAGGCTTTGCCCGTCCAATAACAAAGGTCAGTCAGGTCACTCTTAAGAGTCAACCCGATGGTACGAGCCGGCGTATCGGTGGCCGAGCTTCGAAAGGGGTTGACCGAGTACCTCCGGCTTGGATATTAATTGGAAAGCGCGATGTCACACTTGCGCTGACAAAAACACTCAGCGCAGCCGTTGGCTCTCGCGGGCGGGCACTGGCAAAGCAGGTGGATGAATCGCCTCAGCTCTGGGAACGAGTCGCTGACCCTTTTCCCTGATCCCTTTCCTGTTTGGAAGCAGAGCGGAGATACGGTTGGCTTGTCCCGTGCCGCCACAACCTGTTTTCCTCGTATCGCAATTCGCCCCTCCCCCCTGATTTTAGTCATGTCATGTTCCAGGTGGAGACGCGGGCGGTCCAGGAAATGTGTGTCCTCTGTGCAAAAAAAAAAAAAAATTCAAAAACATGTTTTGACCGTCTGCTCCACATCTGGGGGGGATATTTACTCCCGAAACCATTCTTTTGGGCGGCTGCATGACACAATATGCTTGACAGGATCTATTTGCACGCCCTGCAAAAGCAAAACACATTTTGGACCAATGAGAGGAAAACGGTCAACCGGAGCGGCTGTGAATCCAAGACAAGAACAAAAAAAAAACAACAACCCATAAGAGCTATCTTTAGTCGTCCATGAAAAAAAACAAAAGCAGCCATAAATGTGCCACGAGTCCACCACTTAATTCTGCAACCCGGTATGTGACAGTAGGACAATGCAGTCAGTACGAACAAAACAACTGAGTCATGTGTTATGCAAGCGCCAGTAGGTTCAGCTTTCTATTTATGCCTCCGATCAGTGGTGTGCAAGGTATGCGTGCTGGCCCGCGCGTGGCCCACTCCCTTCTTGAATCCGGTCCAACCCCCCAAAAAGAAAGACCAATAATCTTCGGACATGACCACAACATATGATAAGAATTAGTCAGAAGCTCTTTTACATTGTGGAGTTACTGACTTTCGCAACGTTTTATGAGCGATAACTTTCTTTTGGTAAATTATCGCTTCATTGATTTCATGCAAATAAGAACATGAGTCAAATGAACAAATTGCAAATGACGGAGGTTATAATTTATTTGAGTCAATGATTCATTGTTTGAATAATATATTAGGAGTAACATTCTTACATATTGTTCAAATAAACACCTTTTAGATACGGTAATACACTTTGTTTTTTTAAACCTCATCTATGAAGGACCTGGCCCAGCACAAAAATGTCCCCACCTTTGCTTTTGCCGCACGGCTCGCAACGCAGCCGAATGGGTCCGAACTATCGTGCGGAGTGCCGAGTTCGCCACGTCGGCCGCCAGCTGCGCTGCCGTTGCAAGTTGGAATCGGCGGCGAATGGCATCGCAAAATTGCAGACGGAATGGCCGGCCAGTCATAAATGCATCGTTTGTGGTTGGAGGCGAGATTCAGGCGGCCGGCGCTGTTGCCAAGCCAGACTAAAAACACGTTCCGCCGTCTACTCGTAGACACCACAGGATGTTTTGTTTTACAATACTACTGAACGATACCACTGGAGAATGTGGATAAGAAAGTGAATCGTGGAGAGTCTCTGTTGCCGAAACGCATGGAAGGTATTCCCACGCTTTCCCGTTTTTTTGTTGTGGTCCGTCATGTATGTCGATCTTTCTTTCAGTTACTGGGACGGATTCGTTGCAATGCGCGGCGTGCGGCCCCTTTAAGATCCTGCGCGCTCCCACTGCAATTAAAATTGTACCGTCGCACAAAAGCGTTTTTGTTTTGGAATGGGATGACCTTCAGTGAGGGGCACACAATGCGGTATCTACGCACCCTCCCCCTACTCTCACGTCTTTGTCATTGATCTTAATCCTGCCGCGAGCCATATGGAAGGTGGAGTTTTGACCTGGATGCATCGCATGCGTACACTGTAGACGCGCTCTCCTGCGGGCAGGTCCAAAGCCCGCCCGTACGGCTGCTCGCAAAGTGTGCGTACACCGCTTCCCCCGGGTTGCGGTTCGGCCGCATCGATTGACCTTCGAGTATGCGGATGAAAAGGAGAACCATTCCCATCCCGGCACGGACGGGCCATCAAATCTACCGGGCCAAGCGGGCGAGAGCATCCCAGCCGAACCAAAGTAAGAGCATGCGCCCGTTGGAGCCGCTCAGCGTTTGCGTATTCCTCGAGCTGTCAGCCTTCGCGCGGCATCAATCAATCAGCTCCGTGAAAGGTGACCCGAGGGGTTAGCGGCGCCAACCTTTCCCATCTGTTGCCAAGGAAGTGCGGCCTGTTGCGCAGGAAACTGGGAGAGCGCTTTCCTGTTATGAAGAGAGCCTTTTCGAGGGTTGCGCTCCTTCAATCGGGCAACAGATGCTGGGCCAGGAAGCCCGGCCGACAGCAAAAAGCCGCCGTGGCCCACAGCAACTCTTCTCGGGGCAAACTGCGCAGCGCTGGGGAAAGAAACAAATCACCGTCACCCCAATGACTCCTTGAACGGAAAGCTGGTCAAATGGGCTCGACAATACAAAGGAGAGCGAAATACTCTCCTGACCGACTTGAGCGCCTTTTAAAAAGTGAACGCATTTCAAAGTGGCCCTTTCATCCTTCCATTTTTTCCGTACGCTGCCCACAAAGGCAAATGTTTGGACATCCCAGACATACAAAGTTAGGGAGAACTTGCTTTTCACCTCAGAAGCCCCCCGGCCCAAAATGTTGATCAACTATTTTACGGTTATTTTAGACGGGCGATTACAGGAGTAACAAACCACAAAATAAAATGCTTGCAATAGCTCAGTGCCTCGACGTGAGTCGCGTCACTTCCATGAGCTCATTTCGGTCATGAGGCTGTTTGCCGCCAAACGGGTTAGAGTTCGTTGCCCTGCGCGCGTTTGCAGGTTGGAGACGAGCGGGGCGACAGCCAACCGAGCGCCTTCGTCTTTTGGAGATCCGAAACACCGCTCGGACGCTTGATTTTGTGTGCAGGAATACGGCGCCATGTGGGGTGTTTGCGCTCCATGAAGTCCCGCCTCGAGGCAGGAAGCCAAAACGAGCCTCACTCAGAAGAGGGCGGGGGGCGGGGGGGGGGTGAGAAAGAGGCGGAGGAGGCGCCCGGCGCGCGACGCTCGACACGCGCATTTGCTCCTCCGAGACGAGATGCTGCGCAACTCGGCTCGTGACACCTGATCGCCCCACCGACGCCTTTGCCTCTGTGCGAGGATTCACTTTGCGGAGGATGCGGTCAGCGTGGCGGCGAAAAATGAGCGTTCCTCTCTGCTCCCGCGGATGACGACGTCCCACGATGAACACAGGTTGGTTGCTGAGATGCTGCGAGACTTTTTCTAGCTCGTCTGTCTCGCTCTCACCGTCAAATGGCACGTTCGGGGCTTTCATAAAGTAGATCGCCTGCTTATGTTTGGTCGGGGGTGGACGACTTGAATTTCAGATTGAAGAATTAGTGGGTGATTGAAAAGACCCCCCCCCCCCCAAAGAGAGAAGTCAAACTGAACACGAAGCGGCGATTGTGTGATCACTTACTGTATTGTTTCAACTACTTAGGAAGTTCATGATGACATTATTATTTCAAGACAAGGTCACAACATCTTTGGAAAAGATGGGTTTTTTTCAGTATCTGCCGAGCTTCTCCTGGAAAATTAAGTATGAACCGTCCAAAAAAAAAAAAAAATGCGCAGAAGTTCATCTAACAGAAGTCGACAATAATCCCTTCATGAGTCGTCCTTTTTGTTGCGTGGTAATTGTGAGCTTGCATTTGCCAAAGCTTGGAACACAGTAGCCCCGTTCTGGCTGTTCAGGTGGGACTTTTCATCGTGTGGACATTGTCACCTCACATCCTGTGTTTGGAATTGCCCCGGTCTGACTGTGTGTCACCTCTTTTGATTTTCAAATGTTTGCTTGAGCGGAATTCTTGCCGCATCATTCATATCCTGTTCTTTGCAGTCGGTTGCTTTGTCAGGCTGGGACCCGAGATTTTCTTTTGTTTTCTTCCTCTTTGACATCGTCCAAGAGCGGGTGCGGGTGCGGGTGCCCGACCTACGTGAGTGCGTTTATGTGCTTTCGGTGGAAGAATGACAAGAAGGAAGTCCGTTTGTGCTGTGAAAGTGTGTACACTGAGACGTCCATGGTGACTGGGGGGCTGCTAATGTCCTTCCCGTGGAAATCCTGTGTGGACCCCCCCCCCACCCCCCGCCAAAAAAAACAAAACAAAATAAGCACGGATAAAACCGTACAATTTATTTTCAATGTCCGAACTGAGATCTCAACAGCAATTCACAAAGAGTGAGGCACACGTCGAGACGCGGTGTCTCACAGATAGGACGTGCGTCAGGGCAGGTGCTCAATAACAGGAAGCGACAAGGGGTGTGCACACTTTGTCAGGAACGGGTGTGTTTCATGATTCGAAAACGCCATAAGCAGTCATCGTGTACAGTTAGCGCCGAACTCTGTGTGTGGGTTTGTTTTGTTTTTTTTTTGACGAAGAAATGGACATTTCCAATTCGAAGTATACAGATGTCGAGGTGCGTCCACAGACAAACACAAGCGCATGCGCGCGCGCACTCCCATCGAGTGAAGGCATGTGTCGTTTCCCAGACAGGGAGATGTTATTGTTTCTCCTCTAAGTACGCTGCGGTTCTCTTGTTTTTCCTGCCGATAATGTTCCCTGCAGCCTTCTGCGTGTCACAGACCGGCGGACAGGACATGGTCTCTCCCTTCACATTCCACGGAGAAACCAGTCCTCCAAGTAGCCCTTTTGTCATTGGATCTTACTTGACCCGATTTTTATTCTTTTGACAGATTTCCAAAATCCGCCGCAAGTCCCTCGAGCGAAGGTCCGAAGTCATTTAACCATCCGAGTGCAGTCCAAACGGATGCCGAGGCCTTGTCCCCCCGGGCATGGCTCAAAACCTCCTGTCGCCCCCAAACCCAAAGGCGTCCGTGCGTTTGGCGCACAGGGGGAGCGACGCTCCCCACAGGCTCTCACGAATGGGGACCTGCTTCACTCCGATGAGGAAACAGATCTGAAGGAGAAGGACAACGAGGGAAAGACTGAGACGGAGGAGAGGGTCAACGGTGTAACAGCAGGAGAGGTTCGGGTCCAAACAGATCACGAGGCAATATCTCATCAAAAGCAGGATGACTACATCGAGCGCATCGGCTCTGAAGACGCGGTCATCGCAGATGACGCTTCGGCCGCAGACGCCGCGGACGGTGACCAGAACTCAGCCCGACCTGACGTTGGCCAAAACGAAGACACGCCCACTCTTTTGTCTCCTGAGAGTGAAAACGAGGAGCCGGACAGCAGCGATCAAGAGCCGACTGACCAAACCTCCGGTGAAGAAAAGCTCCGTCCGATATATCCGCCCAGTCCGGGAGAGTCAAAGTGCGTTCAATTTAACTTGCCCTCGGACGACGGTGCGCTCGAGAACGCAAGGTTCCTCTTTGGATTCCGCACGCTCCCGACTGTCACCGAGGAGTACCCTTACGACGTGATCGGCCCCGCAGATGACAGCGGTGACGCATGCGAGTCCCGCGGCCCGGCCGAAAGCGGCGATGCCGAAGTGTGGCAACCGGAACGGGCCACCAAAGATGTCTCCGGCTGCTTTCGTTTCACATCCGGCACCGAGGATGCGTTTGGCCCGTATTCCGTCATCGAATCCGTTCCATCGGATAAAACTCGCACCGCCGACCCCGAGTGGGGGGAGGATGACGCCGATGAAACTCAAGCAAATGCTCAGCGAGCGTCAGCGCCCGCCGACCCGGAGCCTTTCTACGTGTCAACGGACGACGTGGACCACCCGGAAGATGAGCGAGCCCTCGCAGATCGGGCTGAGGTTGAGGAGGGAACTGAAGACGGGAATCCGCACGGAGACGAAACAAAGGACACCGAATCCGCAGATGAGTATGCGGACATTGAGGATCCTTACCGCCGGAAAGACGAGGACTCGGAGCGGCTGGAATGCGCCTCGTCCGAAGATTATGTGGAAATAGGCGATGAGGATGAAGAGGAGCGGCCCGAAAAGAGACCGGCCAAAGGAAGAAGTGCAAAAGAGAGAACGGCTCAACGAGAGCAGGCTTTCCTCAGTCAAAGAAGAAGCTGCCAGCCCCGCCTGCGGCTGTGCAACATCACCGTGCCGCAAGACTTGGACCTGGGCCGCACCCCGGAGCTCACCAACCGGGTGGTATTTGCCCACACCACCGAGGCGTTCGAAGAAGACATCGAGGAACTGGATTGTCATATCGTGCCTTTCCACGAGGACACCGACTCAGACAGCGAAGAGCACATTTACGAGGAGGCCGGCTTTGACTCGGAGGGCGAGAACTTTTTGAACCTCGACAGGAAGGCTGCCGTGACCCGTTCTCGCTCTTATTCCGGCAAAATCCCAGGTTACGTCCCAGAGACCGTGCCGGAAGAGACGGGCGCCGAGTACCAAACGCACGACGACTGCGCCGTGTCCCCGGATCGGAACGGCGAGCCAATCGGTCGCTCGCAAACGCCCGGGGACAACCGCTTCACCCCATCCCCCAAATCCCGCCGATTCCTTTTGCCCGGCCGCTCTGCGGGGAGCCCCGACTCGGCGTTGGCCAAACAATCTCTGACCGATGAGCTCCAGATGAAGAGGAGAGATGACACTCTTTCGCTTCCGTGCGTCCGGACGTCTTCCGGGAGTTTCTCCCAACGTAGTCACCAATCATCCAGCGGCGTTTCGACCCCGACCTCCCTCGTGGACATTCCTCCGCCCTTTGAACTAGCGTACATCACCAAGAGACCGGTAACCAAGAGTTCCCCTTCCCTCTTGATCCAGCACGATGCCGATGACAAACTCAAGAAGAAGAAGATCTCCTTTAAACGCCTTTTGGCTCTCAAGTTCAAGAGGAAGGCCGATTCGAAAGGCCTCAGCGACGGCTCCGTCCGTTCCTCTCGGTCCTCTTCTGAGTCCAGTCATCACGGCGCCGCAAGAGTCATCGAGCTTGACCATCGGAGCGCCTCCGGCTCCCCGCAGCTGCGGTCGCCGATCGTCGGCCCCCAGCGGCCTCCCTCGGAACTGCCGTCGACGTTTGTCTTCTACAAAGATCCTCAGAGGAGGAGAAGTGACCTCAAAGCTTTTGGCAGAGGCCTTTCCAGAGTCGAGTCTTTCGAGGAGCGCTCGCATCGCTGCGCCGGGCCGCTGCCTTTAACCAAACCCCGCTCGATCTCTTTCCCCAGTGCGGACACCTGCGACTATGAAAACATTCCGGCGATGAGTTCAGATTACGAGAACATCCAAATTCCGGGCAGACCCGCCAGATCACACACGGTAACCGAGTTTTTCGACGATCCCCATCGCGCGGCAGCTCCCTGCAATGAGAATGATGGATACGTGGACATGAATAGTTTCCCTGGGATCGACAGCAAACCCTCCAAAGCGGACGCTGAGAGGTATGGTCCTTTTTAACCAACTCGTTTGTTCACCCCCCACCACCCCCCACCACTCCACCTGTACCTGTGTTTTCAGTCAATGTGTCTATTTATGCAAAATGACGTGATTTGGATCATTTTCGTTCGATCCATTGACCACGCTTGTCATAATCAAGAGATCCTCCGCAGGTAATCCTTCGACGACTTGTCGATCCCCTGTGAGACTATTTCGATTGGGGAGATCAAAACAAATGACTTGACATGCTCTGCATTACACAGACAGAGGAAAAAAAAAACCCACCTGCACTCCGCTGATAACCGCTAACGTCTGTATTTTTTTTAGCGGCATATGGACTGAATGCGAGTGTTGATGGAGTACAATTGGTCCATTTTTATCAGCCATGACAAATGATGAGAATGCTCTGTGGAAACTCACATCAACGGCTGCAACTCGTCCGACAATACGCACACCCAGACTGAACTCTGTACAGTAATCCCTCCTTTTTCACGGTTAATGGAAGTCCTCCCCCTAACCCTCCCCTGCTCCTTGTTCAAGTGGGCGTGTACAAAGCCTCGGAGTCACCTCAGCGCTTTGTTCGGCATGCTGGTACACCTTCTCTCTCGACGCATCGACCTGAAACGATGACTCTTTCCACAATATGGCTGCCGATATGGCTGTCTTGTCTTTTTGTTTTTTTAATTGTAAATTTTGGAGGTTGGGGGGGCAATGTGAAATGCTGAAGCCGCAAAACTTGAAGCGCCAAGTGGCAACTCAGTAGTCTGTGCTCACCGGCATTGTTTGCAGTCCTGTAAGAATCACTCCAATTGCAGTCTCGACCCATTCATACTGCGCGTTTGAGACTGAGTGAGCTCTGCCTGCTCCACGAGTCCGTTCAGTGAGAGACGGCCACCCGAGGAGATCCCTTGTGGGGAAGCTGGCTCATGTGTTGTGGATTTAGAGGTCACTTTGGGAAGGTTAGAAATGATCGGGCAACAGCTCAGTGAGCGAAGATTGTTCACATGAGATAATCATTGTTAGCGGCAATTAAAAGAGGGGATGGGGGCTGTGGGGTGTGGGGGGAGTCATTAGAGGTGGAAGAGCACATTTGGCATCAGCAAGGAGAGAGACGAGGAGCGGCACTCGTGCTAGTAGATGGAGCGGAGGCGTGAGAAAACAAAGACAAGCGTGAAGCCGAGACAAGAGAAAAGGGCGGAAAGCCGCTTGGCTGTACCTGACACTTCTGGTGGAGTTTCCAAAGGCTTTTATGAAAATAGCGTTCTCGCGGGTGCCTCTCTCGTTCTCGCTGCTTGATTGCACCCTCGGGGGAGCGCGGGCTTTACTGCAGCGTGTGATGGAGTGAGCAGTCGCCGCGTTCAGGCGGGGCCAAATGACCTCAGCAGCAGCTTCGGTTGCTACGAGGCGTTTCCATTCTGAATTCACTTGCGCGCTCAAAAACGCGGCTCCGTCTTTGAGCGCTCTTACAAACTGGAGTATGATAACCCCTTTGCATTTTTTCATGACCTAAACGCTCCTTCTTTTTCAGTGTTTTTTTTTTTCCCTGCAATGAATGTTATCCGGATGACATACTCTCCTATATCGCTTTGAGGCGGTGGAGAGAAATGCACAGAAAAATCCCTCTCTGGACAACAGGGGGGATTTTTACGGTGACCTCTAAATCCACAAAACATGAGCGAGCTTCCCCACGAGGGCTCTCCTCGGGTGGCCGTCTCTCAATGAACGGACTCGTGGAGCAGGTCGAGCTCACTCAGTCTCAAACGCGCAGTATGAAAGGGTCGAGACTGCAATTGGAGTGATTCTTACAGGACTGCAAACAATGCCAGTGAGCACAGACTACTGGCGCTTCAAGATTTGCGGCTTCAGCATTTCACATTTTCCCCCCCCCACAAAATTTACAATTAAAAAAACAAAAAGACAAGACAGCCATATCGGCAGCCGTATTGCAGAAAGAGGCTTCGTTTCAGGTCGATGCATCGAGAGAGAAGGTGCCGCTGTTGCCGAGCCTGAGCGCATGCGAGTGCTTTTACACCAAATGTTTAGACGACAGAATACATTTGACTCCGTTTTATTTCATTTCATAAGACCCGGGCCCAACCAAACCTCTTCACTGAAGAAAAGTGTCTACAGCTTGCGAGTTCTTGTTGGGAATGACGTGAGAATTTTGTTTACGAAGGCATTCTACAGACAGTCAGACAGACGGTTGACTAAATGCAAAGATGCGGGAGCATAAATTGGCAGCGGTGCCGCCGACGATCGGCCACTGATTGTCGATCGGCCCATTTCCGCGGAAAAGTAGAGGACGGGCGCGTGTCGACCGATGCCTTTGGTTGCCGATCGGCTGCGGCTTGTACTTTGCAGACAACTGGAGAGCACCCTGTGTGCAGCCTCGCGTCCCCTCCCCCCTTTCTTTAACACTGAGCGTGTTACACAGCAAACCAGTGAGCCAATCATCGGAAGCTGTCTGCTGCCGCATTGTCTCTGCTGTCACTTTGAAATGATGGCCTGTTGGGGGAAAAAAAGAAATATATATATCTATATCTATATCTATAGATATAGATATATATATATCTATATATATTTATATATATGTATATATATATATATATATATATATATATATAGGCTTCTTGTTGATATTGTTCTGCACGGTTCCATTGAGGGAATGGCATTATCGGTGTGGCGCAAAGCTTTTGGCGGTGGCCATCGTGGCCTCCGCTATGCTCCGGGATCAAGGAGTGGGTTCCCTTTCGCGTATTGTTGTGCTGGGCGGTGGCTCCGTGCCGAGGTGGTGGACAGGGTGTGTCGCCGGCTCACCGGGCGGGCCCCGTGCCAGCCATTCTTAGGTCATTGCCAGGTCAGCCCTGGGGAGGAAATGTCCAGCCTGGAGGCTGTTTACAGGAAATGCAGGACAAGGGTCGCACCGCGGCATGCGGGAGACGGCGAGAGCGAGACATGACCGGACAGATAGCATCAATGTGTCACCATGCAGGCTCTGAGCTGTGCTCTTGCCAATATTGCCGGGTGTTTTTTTTTTTTTTTTCTGAGGAATTCTCGTCCTATTTATGGCCATTTTTACTTGGGCGCCTACAATATAGAGCGGATCATCACTTCAGTATTACCATATTGACATTAGAAGGCGTCTTTAGGATTCCTGATCGGTCCTTTTCGTTTGTTGTGTTCTTTTATTTTCGTCTACATTTCTTGGACCATAGAATAATATTTTTTGAAAGGAATGAAAAAAAATCCATGCTAATCAAATGCTGAATGACTCTGATTATCTTTGTTGTCAGTAACAGTGCTTAAAAAAATGCGAACAGCACGTACTCGTCCCAACCGGTCCGCGACACCCCAAAAAAAGGTCAGGGACCGCTGCAGCCGAGGACAAGCGGCAAGCTGCTAGCTTACGACGTCGCACGCAGCGTGTTTACCTGCCGTGTTAGCAGCAGCCCGAGAGTTTTTCTTTGTGTATTCTTCACCGGGTGAAGCACAAACGCGTCCCCGTAGTTTTCCTCCCCGAGTCGATGAGCCTCGTCGCAATCAGGGATTCAAATGGACTTCGATACACGACATTGCGTGACGTACACAGCGCAGCGTTAAAAAAGACCGCGGCTCCTATTCATTCTGACGCCACAAAATTGTAAGAAACGGGCTAAGAATGTCAAGTTCAAGGGACGAGGCCCTCTCACGTGTCGTAATTGTCACAACCATGATGATGCCGTGCAGTTTTCGTCTACTGTAATAATTTTTTTAGGTGCAACGTGATGAGCTTTGTGGAGGTAGGTGGTGGGGTACCTTATAATGTGGCGGGTGGTTTTTTTTTCCCTCAGGATGTGAAATTAAAAAAAAAAAAAATGAAATGTGGCTGCTTTTAGATCACCATCCACTCGCCATCCTTGTTAGGGGAAATTGGTCAAACACACTAAGTGGGTCTTAATGGTTGGGAGAATTGAAATACTGACCTCAGGTCGCATTAAAGGGATTACACGAGAACCGAGCAAGAGTGTGAGCCCCTCGAGCCCTCGAGACGGAAGGATTATCACTGGACATACACAACTCTGTCATGGATAAAAGGATGGATTGGATGGGGGTGGGGGTGGGGGGGGGGAATTCTAATGTGGTGCCGCGCTCACCTCACGCGGTCCATCCGTCTCAGATTCCGCTTCTCCTCACTGGGGTGGCAGGTGTGCTGGAGCCTTTCCCGGCTGACTGAAGGCCCGAGGTGGGCTGCACCAATGGTGCGGCAAATATAGACAAGCAAGCATTCTCACTCACAAGCACACCTGAGGACAGTTTAGACGCTTTCATGAACCCGATGTGCGTTTTTTTGGGCTGGGGGTTTAGGAAAGTGGCAACTCACAGCCGCGCACCAGATTCCCTGCGTTTTGATGTTGGACTTTGGCTCTCCTCTGGTTTTGCAGCGCCTACACCGAACCTTTCCCGCTGAGCTCAGCCTCTGCCGGCTCAGCCGAGGAGGACCACGGACGCACGTCAGAAGAGGAAGAAGGGGCCGCCGAGCAAAGCTGTGATCGGCCGGTGAGTTCGGGGGACAAACAAATGGCAACGCATTTCGATCGCCTCCGATTGCACCTTCGCGCGACGTACCGCGGATTGCCCCGCTGCGGCCGAGAGAGCAAAGCAGGCACGTTTGAGTGCTTGACTGGCAAGGCTGCACTGTACTCTGTGGGCGTCGTGTTTGTCGGAGAGGGCCACCTCCCAAATGAATTCCCTCGGATGAAAACGCTCTTAACGCTTTGCATGCGATGTGCCGCGGCCTTTTGATTAGCCTCTAAATCATTGTTGTCGCCGCGCACGCGGGCTCATACATAATGCATCAGGATTTCAAAGTGCCATCTTCGAGAGGGCCCTCGTGTCTGTGCTGCACTTTAATGAAATCATCAGTCTCGTTCTGACAGCAGACCGAAGGAAAAGAAACAAACCAACCAACAACCAAAAGTCGCTTGACTTTTGGTTTCCCGTCTTTATTTTCTTGAATCCGCCGTCCCTCTCGGCTACCGTTTAGCCGCTGCTGTAATTGCACCGCGAGTGCTCATTCATCTGTCACTGCTCTCACGCAGACCGACGGGCGATCCCGAGCGTTCTACGTCGCCAAGGAGCTCGTGGATTCGGAAAGACTGTGAGTATCGCCGTGGTGTCATCCCACCCAAACACGAGCAGTGTGATTGTGTGACAAATTCGTCCTTTCTGCTTTCATGGTGTCTTTTCCATCTTTTCGCAGACACGTCAGCGCCCTCAAGTACCTTCAAGAGGTAAAAGCTTGCATGTCCCACTTTCCTGAAACGTTTTGTCACGTGAGTCTACTCCCCAGCCTCTGTCTGCAAACCCCCCCACCGTCCCGCCGCAAAGCTCCGCTGAAGTTTATCAATGTTGTTGCAGCGAGAGCGACTTCCTGTCCTGACAAAGTGAACACGGTGTGGCCGGTTGTGAAGCGATGCGGTGTGTTTACAGGCGCCCTCTGATATTATTGTCTTAAGTTGTAGCTTGACTTACCCGATCGTCTCCGTGCACTCCAAAAGTCAAGAGTAAAATAAAAATCAAAAGGCACGAATGGTCATTTCTAGCTCAAGTGGGGAGAACAGGGACCTGAATTTAGAAGGTGCGCTGGGGCAAGTAAGGCTGGATTTGATGAAAGCAAAAGTGAGAGCGGGGGCCTCACCGAGGGCAAGGCCGCGGTCGCAGGTCCAAAAGGAAACACTGACCGCTCTTACGACATTTGCGAGGGGAAATCGAAGGCCCACGGAAGCGCAGTCCGTCCGTAACGCGACGAGCTCTTGGAATTCCGTAACAAAGTCCGAAGCGGTCGGCGACCGACGCGTGAAGCGCGTTCGGCTTTGAAGCATTCCACCGGCTCGTTTTGGGGGAGGAGCTGGCGACTTATAGGAGCCATTGTTCCAGTGTCCGATAAGGAATTTCCAGGGCCCGTCCCCGCGCCAAGGGAGGGAGGCCGCGCTCCTCGTTTGAAGTCATTTTCGGCACAACGGCTCCTGATTTTGGTTTTCTTTGTGACCTATGACCCCCGGCCAAATTGCGTGGCGGCCACGCTTGACGAGCTCCTCCAGAAGCCGCCGTTGTTGCTGCTCGAGCCGCCTTCGTTGATCCAAAATCCAGCGCGTGCATGTGCCGGATGAACGCCTCGTAGCGCCGAGCCAGCTCGCGGCCCGCTTGATTTGCTCTCTGTCAGGAGTCGACGATCGACGGGCTCTCGAAGTCCATCCCTCGTCGGGCTTTTTTTCTGACGCCGTTGCTTTCAATTTGGGACCTCTCAGCTCATTTTGGTCTCCTACTCGTCCTTGTTCTTCATCTGAGAGCGGTCGTTTCTGACCTTGGGGCAGGGAACCCGATGTTCTTTTTCGCAGAGAAACAGAGCATGCAGTCGATTGTGGTGACGCTGCAAAATCATCGCGTGGCGCGCGGGCCGTGATGCAACGGCGTCCGGCCAAGGGTGGAATGCAGACACTCAGTTCCTCCTTTCCTGAATGCCTGCGCGGAGGCCAATGTCTCCAGCAGGAAGGATGTTTAGAGAGGACATTTTCCTTTCCTTTTCAAGCCTCCTTCTTCAACGTTGACTGGCCACCACGTGAAGCGTGAGGTTCTCCCGCACGGTCCGATGTGCTCGGGGGGGATATACTTTTTTTCACATTGGGCTAGAAGTTCAGTGCTGAGCTAGAGGCAGGCAGATGTTTTCTGACGACATCATTTTCCCATTGCAGCCAATGTCTTGGAAGGTGGATACTCACGCTCTCCCCCTTTCTTCTTCCAGCCTTTTCGAATCAACATATCCTGTTTTTTACTTTTTTTTTTTTTTGTCTCGTGAAGGGCTTCAGGCCAGCAGTGGGCCAAGCCGTGGCCGAGGACGGGGGCCCGCTTCTGGACGCTCAGAGATTGGAGGAGATATTGGGTGTCCTTCCTCAGGTCTTGACTCTCCACAGCAACATCCTCGCTGAGCTGGAGGAGCGCATTCATCACTGGTACGATGTGCCGCAGACATTCGCAAAGGCACCGAGCGTGTCGTTTCGGGGTTTTTTTTTCTTCTTTATTTTTTTGTTTTAAGGAAAGTCCATTGTCCTCTCACGTCTAGGGAGGAAGGCCAAAGAGTGGCGGATGTGATCTTGTCACATCGTGAAGACTTCAGGGTGTTTGATACCTTCATCTCGGAGTACGAGCGCAGCATGGCTTTGCTGGAGGAGAGCTGCAAGGTCAACCCAGCCTTTGCCAGCACTGTCAAGAAATTTGAGGTGAAATCTCGTCACTCTTTGACATCCATTACATGCTTGACCTTTTTTGACCCAAGATCTACTTTTCAAGCAACCACCCTCCCGCCATCCACCCGTTACCGCACGTGCACGCTCACGCTCACGTGAGCTTCTCCCGGCGCTCCAGATCACCACTCTTAGCCAGTGCCATCGGTCAATTGCACACCAAACAAACTTTGAATGACAATCATAAGAATCCCAAAAGATCTGTCTCGCAGCAGCTGTGATGGCGAGACAGATCTTTTTTTTTCCATTTTCCCCCCCTTTGACCCCTTCGCGATAGACTTGGGGCCAGTCCGCGGGCTACCGTCTGTTTTCCCGAGTGACTTCTTCAGAACATTCGAAAGTAAATGCGCACACCGGTGTTCATGGAAACATTGAGAGCATTGAATATAAAGACAGGATATGAATGCGATGAGCAAAGATAAGCGCGTGCCATTCTCATTTGCATGCAGCTGCGCGCCGGTGCGCAGAAGAGATTGGCTGTTTGCAACGAGCCAAGTGCATTCAGCTGCTCACATTAGCGCCTCGGCCCTACTTTGATTTACAGGATGCTTGTTGATGCAGCGCTTCCAAGTATTTCGAGTTTGGAAAGAAAGTGGACAGTGCAACGACTGTTTTCACTCATGAATATTTAACAGCAGCTGCCCCGTCCTGGGAGGGGAAAAAAAAAAAAAGAAAGCACTAACAACAACAGCAACCACCTTGTAGCTCCTCCATGCGAGATGATCTCATCTGCGTAAAAAGAAGGATGAAAGGAAAAGGTCAAGCATTGGAAAATATGGTCTGGGCACTGATGCTTGGTGTTTTCAACACCTGGCCGACTCGTCCCCCGGTAACCTCCGTAAAAATGAAGATGGGCCCGACCGGGCCCATCTTCATTTTTGCTCGATGAAGTTGAGTGACACTCATTGGCACCGGCGGCCAATGAAGCGGTCGACGCGGAAGGTGCCAAAATGAGATTGGACGCTTTCTTTTTCGTCACGTTTTAGAGCACGCTTGCCACCACATACACCATGCGCGTCGCACGTTGGGAATTTTTCCACTGCCGCTGTGGTGGTCAGGGAAGAAGGAGGAGAAAAGAGCAAAAAGATGAAAGTGAAATGGACTGTGTGCAGGTGCACGTGTGGGTTTCCAGCCCTCCAGGTGTAAATAGCTGTCAAACACAATTAGACTGATTGATTTGCCGATACTCTTTTGATTGTGCGCTTTTTCTGGAGCCCTTCTCCTGCAAATGAGAAATAGAATGATTTTTTTTTTTTTAAATCTTTTGTGTCGCGGAAAGATGCGAAGGTCACCTTGGCTCAACACAAAAAAAAAAAAATCTGGCGATATTTCCCTGTCTGTACCATTGGCCAGGAGCGAGAGTGGAAAAAAAAAAAAAAACAGGATTCAATCAGTTTCTTCTTCGGTGGTTGCTTCGGGTCTTTCCCGAGCACCGCTGTTGATATCGCGCCTCCATCGTGGCGCGACGCTGCAACCGCACGTAAAATACAAAGCTGCCGCAGAGGTACACGAATCGCTCAATCGGCGCCATGCCGAGCAAAATCGACGGGCCGCCGCCTCCAAAATTAGCTGGAGGCGGCGGCCGCCCCATTTTGAACGCCGGAAGAACCCTGATCTTTTGCATTTGGGCGTTTGGATCTTGCAGAGGAGAAGTGCAGAGGATGCCGAAGTGCCACTGAAACAGCAGCTATTGCAGGTCCTCGTCAGAGTCCTGCAATACGGCATGCTCCTGACAGGTAACGCATGGAGACATCTTTGCGGCAAGCTGCTACTTTGTGACAGCGGCAGTTTCAAGAAAGTCGCCGCCGTGGAACCTCGTCATAACTCGTTCTTTCTGCTTGACTGCCTCCACAGATTACCTGAACAACCTCTCCCCCGATTCTCAAGAATATGAGGACACACAAGGTATCCCGCCCGCCGCGTCTGAGCCGCCAACACGTCCTAGCCGCTTTCTTCAAGATTTTCAAAGCACAGTGCCAAATCCATGAACTCCTGAAACCGTTTGTTGCCACTTGGATGTTCTATTGCGTGACCCGCCTCCCTCGACACGATGACGTTTCAGAAAGCTTACTTTCTGTTCTTGTTGTTGGGCTTTTTTTGCCTCATTCGGTGACACGTCGACTTTGTTTTTGTGTGTGTTGCAGCCGCCTTGGTGGTCGTGTCCGAGGTGGCGGACCAGGCCAACGATAACCTGAAGCAAGGGGTAAGCAGCGGATGCGTTGAGTCCGAGTTGATGAAGCAGCTAGCAAAGGTCTTTCGAAGACACTCGCTCAGTCGTCCGTCCTCAGAGAGCGGGAAGTGTATTCTTCGAAATGTATTGCCGCATGATTGTTGAGTTCCAAGATGATATGTTTCTTCGTGAAACAAGCAACTCCATTTGTATTTTTAGATGTTTTTAGTCACAATGTGGCTGCTCAACGCACCCGTGACATCGAATGCTGCAATCTAACATGCGAGAGGTCGGACATGACTGGCGCTTTTCGTTGAAACAGACGCTAGAATGGTGACCAAACGCGGACCCGAGATCCTTCTTTCAAGTGACAGCCCATAACTTTTCTGTTGCGGGTTGGTTGAAAGCCTCACATTTTGGGCATCGACCCGGCGGGAGGGAGAAGCGGATTCCTCCCGCGTTGAGCGGGATGCTGAGGACGCCGCCGCATCGGGGCAAAGGGGAGCTTTACTCCGCCGGCTCCCGCAAACGTGGAGCGCCTCGTTCCCGATCCTCCTCCCGTTGTGCGTCGCCGCCCGCTTTCTCACCGTCGGGATGGCCGCGGTCCTCGGGGGCGCCGTGGCCCTCCTCTGCCGTCAGCACTGGCGCACACGTAGACGGACGGACACGGCGTCACCTCCCTTCCCGCCGAGCGGTGGTGGCATTGAGGTTCTCCTCCCCAGATATTCACACGCACAATGTCTCTGCTCCCTCCGATGTCTCAGGAGAACTTGCTGCGTATGGTCCACATCGAATACAGCTTGAAAGGCAAGCGGGACCTCCTGAAGGCCGGCAGGGTGAGCAAAAGCAGCCGCGCCCCAAAAGCGGGCACCTCGTCTTCCGCGTCTCACGTGCTGACAACTGATTCTGTTGGCAGATGTTTGTCAAAGAGGGAACACTCATGAAGGTCTCGAGGAAAAGCAGACAGCCCCGACACCTTTTTCTGGTAACTCTTCTCCAACCTCATCTCCAACCTCGTTTGACCTTCGCTCGCTCTCACCTACAGGCCTTTGCTCAAGAGCTGAGCGCAAAAGCCGGAGACGCGGCGCCCGGCACCGCTTCGAGCTCGCTCATTAACACCTCATTGCAATCGGGCCAAAAGACAATTTGCACTTTTCTCGAGAACGCGTCTTTGGGTGGGGGTTGCTTGGCAACGACACACCGAAGCTTTGAGCAGGATTGCGGCGCGTTTGCGCGTGAGATTGGGCAACACTGGGCCTCATTTCCTAAACGGTTGCGAGGAACCAACTGGGTCTTCCTTCCCACTCCACCTTGGGTTGATCCCTTGCGGTACAACAACTCCCACATTGATGTTCTGGCCATCTTCTGGCAGGGGAGTAGCCCAAAAGAACGTTGGAAGAAATATATTCTTTGATTGCAAGAAAAGCTCTAGTAAGTGTGCGGTGCGCTACTTGTGAAAATCAAATCTGTGATGTTGTCATTCAGAGACAGGAGCGAAGCGCACCTGCTAGCCTGAGCCACGTCATCTGGGGGACGATGGGGCGGAGGCTCGCCTGCCACGGCGGAAGGGCACATGGCCAAAGTTGAAAAAATGTCCAGCGGGCAGCGCGCCCGCCTGCAGCCCGGGCCTCCCCCTGCACTCTCCTCCCCTCTCGGCACTTGTTTAGCAGGGCCCCGCTTCCTTACAGGATGTTTGGTGCGGGTCATTGGATGCTGGCTTCCTGTGTATTGGGAGGGGACTGACAGCAAAGCGAAGGCCAGTCAGCCCGTAGAATGCAGGCGGGGGTGGGGTGGGGTGGGGGTGCCCTTGAAGAGGTTGAAGGCCTGGGGAGCGTTAACACAAACGCATCGCGTGAAATCGAGAAGCTCGCTCGATTGTTCTGTCCTGTGCCGAGCTGCACGGAAGAGCAACTCTTTCCCCTTCACCTCAGAGCCGGTTATCCAAAAGTCATTTTAGTTTCGCGTCGACAAGACTGTCTGCGTGTGTGTCTCTCCCTTCATATGTCGTGGATATTTGTGCTGGGAATGGATTTAAGGGCAGCAAGCGATGGGTAAAGACGGCGACTGCGGTTTGGAGTCCTCCTCTGATGAAATGAGCGGCGAAGGTGAAGCGTGCGGCTCAGAGTTCACAGGCCCGGGTTCGGGATTGGCCGTCGTGCGTTGTCGCGTTTGAAAGGCCGTGCGCCAGGGCCTTCGACATTTCCCCTGCCGCGTTTGTTTGTTGGGCTGCGTCGAAGGCGGTGGCCTGTCCCACCCGGGCCTTCTCGAACAGCACGCGGGGCGAGCGATGGGAGGGCAAGTGGAGGCCCAGAACCCAGCACAGGGTGGAGAATTCCTGGATGCGGTCTTTACGTCCCAGAGGATGTTTAGAACGCACGTTAGGTGTGACCAATGATGTCATTCCTTTTTTCGGGGTGGGGCGGGGGGGAAGTAATGAAATACCTCCCACACACAACACAATGGGCGCTCGGTGTGTTCAGGGAATAACAATACTCTGCTCTTCCGTGCAAATAAACGCCTTTATTGGCTTATTTTGTTGTGCAACTTTATTTGTAGGTGGGAATCGGGCCCCGCATAGTTGCACAAAGTCGCCTGAACGCTGGGAAAGGAAACAGCTTAATCCGTAAGAATGTGGCAAGGGCCAAAGGAAAAGATGATCCACGGTGGGCGCCGATTTGCTCGAATAACTCTGGAGTTTTGTCGTCATCTTCTGGCGATTGGGGGGTACTGCAAAGTTGGAAACCCCACCTCGTCATTGACCAACAGTGCAGTGCATTGGGAACAACTTGTCTTCTTCTGAGGTCGTTTTTAACAGGCGCCGACCTGGCTCCATGTGTGTCCTCCACCAGATGAATGACATCATGCTGTACACCTACCCGCAGCAGGATGGGAAATACAGGCTGAAGAACACGTTATCCCTGTCTGGAATGAAGGTACAGTAGATTCGTTTTTCATGCGGAACGGTCCCCGTGGTTCCCAACCCCCGGTCTGGCCGGCCCGCGGCACCCTTTGGGACGAGCAAATGTACTCCATCAGACGTGGCGGAAATGTGCGCGACTCTCTAGCCAATTAGAGTGCCCCTTCTTACATTGGGTTGTTTGAAAATACAACCAGAATCGGAGAATCAATGAAAGAAGCAGTTGACAAATTGAGCAAACGTCCCGCTTTACCGGCGCGGCGACTGGGCAGCCACGACTTCCGAAGATGGGACAAGAGAAGGTCCTCCCTTAGCGCCGCGGAGGAGGAAGCCGGTGCTCGTGCTATGTCGTCAAAAACCAGGCGAGACAAAAAAACCGTTGACTCATTTGAACAAATAACACCCGAGCGATCAAGTGGAAAGCGTGACAACGCGAGCAGCGCCCACGTCAACGTGAGCAGTTTCGTCGCTGAGAACGAGCCGGCAGACACAAAGCGCCAATTGATCGTGTCCTTTTTTTGATCGGTCCATTTGCAAGTAGCAATGATGCTAACGCCGGATGTAGGACAATAACTTGAACATTTTGATGTTTCCATTAGAAGGTGTACTTACTGTTCCTGATTGGTGCATTTCTTCGTAGTTTGCTGTGTTATTTTATGTTATTCTACATTTGCTTTCGAGTACAAAAACACTGTTTGAAACGAATGAAGAAAAAAACGACGTCAGTGAAATGTTTCATTACTCCATAATTATATTTGTTGTCAGAACCAGGGCTTAATGCTGGCAATTTAAAAGCAATGAAAAAAATGCTTGTCGGTCCGTGAACTGCGCATGCATTCGATTGCTCCATGACAAAAAAAAAAGTTGGGGATCACCGTGTAACAGCATGCCATACAGTTACAAGCTTCATAGGATAAAGGTGGTTGACAAAACAATTTCCCCTCCACGCACACGCAGGTGAGCAAACCTGTCCTTGACAACGTCCTGAACTGCCTGAAGATCGAAGTGTCCGACATTACCATTACACTCTCTGCCAGGTAAATAAAACAGACAAAAAAAACATCCTGCCTTTTTTTAACTGTCTTGTCAGTGTGACAGTACAGTAGCAGAAATTTTAGCCATGAGTTCGTTAGTGTGCGTGTCGTTCATGACGGGCCCACATCACGCCGAGTTGTGTGGCGGGGATGACCCGATTCAAGCACTCACGCCTTCCCTCCGTATGCTGTGGCGCACAAGTTGACATGACGTAAAATTCGAAGCGGTTTTCTCGCTCGGTGACCGCTGAGTTTTGACATCATTGTCTTTTGGGGTGGGGCGTTTTTCAGCTCGGTTGGAGAGCGAGAGGACTGGTTCCACACATTGAGCCGAGCAATTGCCGACCACGCTGCGGGACTCTGTACTTTTGGAGGAGCCTGTAATGAGGTGAGGCCAAGCAAGTGATTCGTTACAGCAATGAACGGCGGGGGCATGCGTTAAAATCAGAAGAATAGCTACTCTTTCCACCTTTCAATTATTCAGTTCAAACGGCGATGTTAGAAATATCGAAGATGACAAACGCTTTGTCATTCATTCGAAAACTTCACAATGGTGCAGCGAAAAAGAGGAGTTCGACACAAACAGCGATAAATAATAAAAAGTGCAGAGCATAAACAATTCGAAACAAAACCACAAGTAAAAGTCACGAATTCACGCGCCATTTTGTAGAATCGAGTGCCATCTAGTGGTGAACTAATAGAAAACTACAAGCGCCTGCATTCGGTGCCTCGCCGCCAATTTCTTCAGTGGAGGTGCAACCAAACGACTTCTCGGGTTCCCTCAAGTGACGGAGTAAGTGCGTGGCACTTACTCCGTCACTTGCAAAGCAGAGACAAGTTGTGCTCCTGTCAACAATTTCATACTCGAGCGAGCAATGCTGAGATGCGTTGCACTTACAAACATGAGGGCGATAATGTACGTGTAGAAGTGTACACGTAAAATATTTCACTTCACACACGGAAAGGTAGCATATGAACGTGGCATGCATCAACCTCAGCGAGTCAGGCACTCGGGAGTTACGGCACGAGACCATAAGTCGGGAAGAGTCCGCAGAGTTACGGCGCACTTGTTGACCGGCAGAGTTCTCGGAGCTCAGTCATAAAACGCCATCGTCATTCTTGAGCAAGGAGAAAGCCAACATGCCGCCGCCGCGTGTTTGTTTTTCATTGGCCGGATGCGCCAACAGGCCCGTGAGAAGCTGTGGATGGCCTTGGGTGAAGCCGCTCCGGTTCCGGTCCCGCCGTCTCACGCGATGATGTGCATGAACTGCACCTCGGACTTCAGCCTCACTCTTCGACGACACCACTGCAATGCCTGCGGCAAGGTTCGCTTGACTGCGCGGCCCCGAGACCGGATCGCGATGCCTCGTTTGCTCCAGTTCAGACTTTTGGACTCATGTTTGTTGCAGCTCTTCCTCGGTTCCATTTCAGACGGTTCACGTAACGTCGGCATTCTTTGTATTCTGGCCCCGCAGGTCGTGTGCCGGGGTTGTTCCAGGAACAGATACCCGCTTAAGTACCTCAAAGACAGGCCGGCCAAAGTGTGTGACCGCTGCTTCGCCGAGCTCAGGAAAAGAGGTGACCCAGCGGCACGTTGGGGCGGACGAGGACTTCAGTTGTTGCCACGTAAAAGTGATATCGGGCTTGATTCTAGGCAGCGGCGAGTCAGGCGCGTGCGGCAACTCGAGTCCGCCCACTCATCGGGCCAGTCGTCCCCTCTCTGCCGTCTTCCAAAGCTGGCAGACGCCGAGTCTCTGGAAGAGCAGGAGGAGCACGTTATCCCTCAATCAGGTGTGGCGCATTTGGGCGGGTCGTGCAGAAGTTCACCCCGGGAAAATTTATGGTTCCGGGGCTGACTTTGGGCTACTGAAACAAAATGCCTTCCCTGACCGGGAATCGAACCCGGGCCGCGGCGGTGAGAGCGCCGAATCCTAACCACTAGACCACCAGGGACATGACAGCACCGTGGAAGAATGTCCGGCACCCAAAACGGGCGCAGGATGCTTTGACCGAGTCTTGCCAGTAGAGGTCGCTCTTATTCTATGCTGTAGCAGTGTTGCCCAAGTCCAGCCAAACGGCTCATCGGCAAGCTCTGCGAAGCCCCGATCAGCATCACGATCGTTTGAATCAAGTGTGTTGGCGGAGGGTGACGTCTAAAACGGGGTTCCTCCAGGACCAGACTTCAGCACCCTTGCACTTAAAAGAAACCAAAAAAAAGTTCTTGATTTTCAGTTGCGCGTGATCACATTTTTTTGCTCAACGAACGATGCATTTCATTTGTTTATTTATGACATCGGTTTACCACATTTCGATCATGTGCAACCGATGTACATGTTCGAATTCAGTCAAAGGATCTTTTGGGGTTTTTTTTTCTTTCTCCAGTGTGTATGTAATCCCAGCTCTACTCATTCGCAGTTGCCTCTCGGGGTGGAGGGCTCAGCCATGAGTGGCGTGTTACAGCGCCGAAAGAAGAGCAAGAGGAAATGGAAGCGGCTGTGGTTCCTCCTCAAAGACAAGGTGCTCTACACCTTCACGGCCCGTGAGGTGAGGGGGCGCAGAGTCTCCCGCAGCAGCCCTCTTCTCCTTCATCCGCTGACTGCCTTTGTTTTCACCTGTCACCTGACGGTCCCTTCTGAAAACTCTCTGTGACTTCGGAAGGGACTGTCTTTGCCCTCGCCGCACCCTGAGTAGCGTGCTCTTGTCATCTCAACTCTGTCGAGCAAACGTACGGTTTACATATTTGAAACATGCCGGTACCCGCGACGTTTCTCGCCTGCAATCGCGTCGACGTTCAGACAGACAAACGACATTGTAGACAGCGGCTCTTCCCAATCCGCCTTACTTGCGGCATGTACATTGACCGAACTGGTCTGTTGTCAACTGCCTGTAGTCGCAGATCTTTACCAACAGAGGGCGCTAACATACCCTGAACAGCCGTCAAATCCCCGTTCACATTGAACTGAGGGCAAACGTTCCATCCACATACAAACGTGAAAATTCCTGCTGGGGTCGCAGTTTTTCACTTTTCACAGGAGGGGGGGCGGGGGGTGTCCGGTCCCACCTAACTGCGAAAAACCGAGCCATTGGTGTATCTTTCTGACTTGGTGGAATATTTCTTCAGGACGGAGTGGCCTCCGAGAGTCTACCCCTGCAAGGCTTCACCGTCAAGCTGACGGAGAGACCCGAGGCGGATGACAGTAGCAACGTGTTCCATCTCTACCACAAGAAAAGCCTGTACTGCAGCTTCAGGGCTGATGATCATCACACAGCGCGCAGGTCAGTATCATTCTTCGTGACCTGGCTTTTAATGATCTCCGGCGTGGAAATGAAAGCACGCAAGAGTCAAAAGAGTCAACCCTGGCAAGGCGACTGAGGCGAGAGCATCGTGCCGCGACGACACGTCGGGGCTGGTGGCTCGTGAGCCGGATCAAACTGTGGGTGGACAAACTGCAAGGGAAAGCGTCCTCTACCGCAACTGCTTTGGGCTTCGTTTTGGTTTGGCATAAAGCGACTGCTCTTTTCTTTTTCTCCCCCGCAACAGCCGTCGTCACGAGTCGTGGTTGATTCTTGTAGTTCTGCTCTGCCGGTGTCTGACTTTCTACGTACGTGTTTGTTTCAGGTGGGTCGACGCCATTGAGGAGGCCACAGTTTTATAGCGGCAGCTTTGTCGAAAAACAAACCATTCTGACCATGGACAGTCAGCGGAAGCTGATCTATTGACCCGTCGTCTCAGCACACACCTTTCATCCCTATCCCCAATATCCCAACATCGATGTCGTGGGAGGTTATCTCGGCAGCAGCTAAAACAGCCAACCCGGTAAGGAGGTCAAAGTGAGGGATGCCATCGCTCGCTCGGCGACTGACCTTTTTTTTCTCAATGCCTTCACTTGAGAGTCCACTCTTCAGGAGCAGCTACGACAGCGTTAAGATTGAATTGTATTCGCATTTTGTCCATGGAGAGCCAAAACGGTTTTATCTGTGTATTTTTCTACTGTTGAAAGTGATTGTGCCATTGGATTAGGGATTGTGGATCACGCTCTTGGGCACTTTTCAGCCTGCCTCCTGTCATGGCTCCTGTGGTGTTACTGCTCTGCAAAAAAAAAAAAAAAAAAAAAAACATGTCAAGGTAGTTTGTTTTTTAAATGCCTCCTTGCTGGCAGAAGCTAAAACAACAAAAAAATTGTGTGTGTGTGGGAGGGGGGGCATTTCAATATTTTGAAGTCAGGTTTATTCTGGGTATATATTGTGAAGTCGGCGATACATATTCTGTATCGTGTATGCAGCGACCGGTCCTCGGGAACAGTTCTGTAATCTTGAACGGAGTTTGCATTTAAATTTAAGAAAACAAATGTTGAGAAAGTGCCACCTTATTTCCTCCTGTTGCATTCAGTACAATTTGCATTTCATGATAAATGTGCCTGATAAAGAGTGAGAATTGTTACAATGTTAGACAATACCGTAGTACTTTTATGGAAGAATTGCGCTCGCCCCTTTGAGCTCCCGACGACTTTGTCTTTTTAAGGTTTTCAGTTACAACCGAGGTAATCTATGAACGTAATATTGTGCCATTTGAGCGTTGTAAATATTCTACCGATGGTTGAAATCAGGACTTGATTTCATGACAGAAACTGCCAATGTCAAATATCTGAAATCTGAAGCTTTGCACTTCTTCTGAGTTTCTAACGTGGGTGGATTTCTTTAACAGAGAAAATGATATCTGTTCACGCAAAGTTCAGAAACATCACGTCCCCTCGAGGATATGGAGACAACCCTTTCAAATGGATCGTTTTGGTCACACTTTATAAGTTCAACACACTGTCAGCAGACGGATGCTCAATATAGCTCTTCAGAAATGCACATTAGTTTTGCCAAGTTAGACATTTCTTCATTCAAAAAAACCACACACATCATACTTTGAAGCTTTATTGATCCAGCATCCACGGGCTTCTTGACAAATATGACAACCTTATATTGTGTTCTCAAATATTTTTTCATCTCAGAGTATAACTTCAAAGAAAGGCAAGTGAAGTTTTCAATTGTTCTTTTGTTTTCCAGACATTAAGTGTTACATGAGATTGTACCTCTTGCATACAGTGCATTGGAAATGTAAATATATATATACTGTATATGGATGCATATAAAAATAAACTGAAAAAATAAGCAATGGTCTCGATATGCCTCTCTGTCCTCGCTTAAAAACATATTTGCACATTTGCCACAGCGGATTTGAAACAAACCAACGAAATTGTGACTTGGAGCGTTGAGCAGCTCGCACAACTGGGACGTTTACTTTCATTTCAGCAGCTCAAAATTATGTTTTCGCATGCACAGAAGCTGCAAACGGCCGTTTAATATGTCTTGTGGAAAGGCTGCGTTATGAAGTATTAATCGTGACAACCCCGTGGACACCAACACCGATGGCATTTTTCAAACACTCAACATGCTTGAGACTGTTCGCAATGTAACACGAGGACCTCCCTTTCAAGGTCAAGTGTGAAGTATACATTCAATAAAGCATGAAGTCATTTCTATTTCGCAAATTTGACAATGTCATCGTTTTGCGGAAGGGTGATCCAGGCGAGCGACAAACCCAAAAGTGTGACGTCACTTGAAGGACAACAAGCGCAGGGCTCAATGTGAAAAGTGGCCAACGCCGGTCAGAAATCGATTCGGAAAGCGACGTTTCAAACTTCTCTGAAGGCATCCCGGTGTTGAAAGATTTGGAGGAAGAGGAGGTTGTTAGACCGAACGTGTAGGAGCCAAATGCTCAGGATGGGGAAAGCGTTGCACACGAACGGCCGGACGTGGAGTGAAGCTGTGACCCATCGAGATTGGAAGAATGGTAAACTATCTGTACAGGCAGCGGTTATTAGCGGAACGTTATTGTTTGAAAATCGACGCTGCTTCGTGGAGTAAATTGCGCACGATGGGATGACCGACTTGGTGTCCTACGTTGTCATTCCTCAGGTAGTTCTGTCGCGTTGTAGGCCACCCTGCAGAATATCTCGGCAGGCCTCGATAACAATGGCGTAGAGCAGTTCACGGGACGATCAACGACGCAGGACAAAGGCTGACCGGCGACTAGGCATTCATGGAATGACGTCACTCGCCGGAAATTGCCGAACGAAAGCATTTTTTACTCAACTCCTTCAAATTTGTTTTCCATTTCTTTCCGGTTTCAGTCTGCGTTTTGTCCACACGTCATTGGTTTCTCCGTTAAACGCATCGCTAACACGAAGCGTCGGTCGCGGTTGACGAATTATCTGTGATCAAAATTGGCAAATTAGCGTCGCGTACCAGTTTTTTGTTCGCAACATCAAGATCATTGGATTGTCGCGGTCTGTGTTGCTGTTGGGTTTACATCTCCTTCTTCCAGCAGAGGGCAGCATACCCCCAACGCAGATTTTAAAATGACAGGGTGGTGCAGAGACGGGGCCCCGTTTTCTCTCAATGGCGTTTGTTCATTACTCAGATAAGAATGGAAATTGTTCGATCTCATATTGTGTCTCGTCCACAACACAAAAGAAGTTACTCGTCTATTTGAATAAGTTGCACATGCAAACGATGAGGTACAATCCTCTGCCGTGTCCTACACGATCAATTGCTGATGTCGTGTTCATCAAAATGGACTCCAACAGGTGTCTCGTGTTTAATTGTCTAGTACGCCAAATCATTTTGGCATTAGTCAAGCATAGAAGGTCAACATGCAACATGGCTGAGCTAGTTGTCATAATACGTCAAGACAATTCAGTGAGAGTTTGTTGTTGATTTGAGAAATGTACCGGAGCAACCAAGAAACCTTGTGAAACGTTGCTCACCGCGTACCCATGGGCGCTTCCCAACCAATGTCAGCCATGCCTGTTTGCAGTGAAGTCATTCAGAGACAATGACATGCATCCCAATGGCCACACTTGCTCGGACGGCTCTGTCGAAGTGCCAAGATGAAATGGGATGATTCTTTACACATGATTTACTTTGGCGAGTCAGTGAGCAGCTCAACACGGCGTTTGTTTTCACGCGCCTGGGCCGCAAAACTCGTACTGCTCGTTACCCGGGCGCGGGCAACCGCCAAATGACATTCCTGAGATCATTTGTCAAAGCATTTTATCTATGAGAAGCGGGAAATTTCTTTGACATCATCTTGCGTGCGCCCGTGTCGTGTGTTGATTCATAGATACGGTCACCTGTCCTGGAAGATCTCCATCGATATGTTAGGCATCCAGCTAAAGCAACGTTTTTTTTTGTGTGCGTGTGTGTGTGTGTGTGTGTGTGTGTGTGTGTGTGTGTGTGTGTGTGCGCACACGTCCCTGTTAAAACCATTATATAGGAGCAGCCATTAATTGGTTCTGTGGTGTGACTGGAGGCATGAATCTGTTCATGGGCTCCAAGGTCAAGGTCAACTTTATTGTCAAATATGCTTCATGTAGTTGTTGAAATGAAATCAAACGACTTCAATGAGTCGTTTGTTCCAAGCGTCTGAGAGCGACACAATGCTAGTCCAGTCGACGGGCTGTAATCCGAGTTTGACTTTTCAAGTTGCCCTCTCAGAGCCGGACCGCTGTGTAACGCAACCCAGCTCGGAGAAGTGAATTCCCGACTGCAGAAGGCCCAAGCGATAACATCAGGCTGCGTTGCACCCAGATCATGAAAATTGCTTTGAAGATTTCAAGGCATGGCAAGACCACTCAATATGTGGGCCTTTTTACTTTTGCAACATCTGCAAGAAGAAGAATCATTCAAACTGTTCTCAAAGGGAAAAAACTGCCAGGTTGCAAAATGATGTTGCGGGGAGCGCGCTGTAGCAAAACACATGGAGAGAACAGAATGTTCAAAAATAATTTAAAAAAGCAGCGGTCACAGCCCAAGTTGTCGAAAAGGTTCAAGCGCACCTCTGGGAGGCCAGAAGGTGACAACTCGGCGCTCCGGTCCTCTGCTGGACGCCGTGAGAAACCATGAGGGCAAACCTTCTTCATGTTTGATTCAGGCTTTCCGATTCACCGATCAGCATTCACGCTGCAAGGTGAAAGGATCCTTTCTTCCTCGTCCGAGTCCTCCATACGGGTAACGGGGAACGAGTGTGGCTGGAAAGTTTCCACGCTGTAATCTCAGAATCTTGTTATTCGCGGCGGCAACGTAAACGCGCCTGAGACAAAGTGGCATTTCAAGAACAACTGGCTGGCTGCTCTTTGTCCTCCTTTGGCGCTCCACTTCTTAATAACATCCACACAAAAGGGGATTGGATATCGATTGGAATTATTTAGAGCATCTCGTGGGCTCATGCCGGATGACCGGTTTAACAATCGAGAGTCGAGTGACATCAAGGGAGGAGGAAAAGAGGCATGCCCGACCAATTAACACCGAAAGCCCATGTTAAATATCTGTCAAATACGTGCATTTTTCGTGGATCTTGTGGCCATTTAGGTGCCATTTCAACAGCTTGCGTCTGCCAACCTTCAAATCAACACAAGTGAATACAGCTCGGGGGAGGGGCAAGCAAGATTTCAATGAGATTTATTTTACCCTTAAGTTGTGGCTAACATTAAACTCATTGATTTAAAGAGTCAGGAATATGGCTGTCATATCAGTGTTAAAAAGTGGAAACGTGAGCAAGTTTTTGCACTTCTTGTAGTGGTGGGGGTCACGAGCACGTCTGCCTCATAGTTCTGAGGTTCTGCGTTTTAAAAAAAAAATCAAAATCAAAAATAAGCTCTGGTGTATGTTAACTGTTGTGTAAAGCGCTTTGTTCCAGCTGAAGCTGTCGTGAAAGCGCGATATAAATCAACATGTATTGTATTGTATTGTATTGTATTGTATCGTTATCGTGCAGTGTTGGCATGGCTACTCTGACTTCCTTCCACATTCCAAAAGCACGCATGCTAGGTTAAGAGTAAATTAGGCAAGCTGACGGGCTAATTTGTCACGTCGATGCATATTATCAACTTAATGACCAACTTTGGTCACATGGCTTCTGAAGAAGAAATGATTCCAAAAAAAAAAAAAAAGGAGTTTCTGCACATGGTCAGAGGTGAGTCAAAGTTAGGTCGCTGCCGGCGGCGATGCCAATGTCCACATGCTATTTTAAAATAGCCTGCCTTTGTTTCCGCAAATGAACGCACGAAGCGCAATATACAACATTAAATGCAACGCAGTACGATGGACGCACTTCCATTTTTGTTGAAGTGACGCTTTCACAACAGCTGCGGCTGTAACAAAGCGCTTGACGGAACATTGACCAGAAACATGAAGAAAATAATACAGCAGAGCACATCATCTAAAACATCGTCAGGTAACAACTGTGCAAAGACCTTTGAGATAGGCCTCGTTTGAAGCGGTCAGCGATGAAAGAGGGGGTCCGTCTTTTAACCGTGAGCACATCTGCCTCAGTTTTGTGAGATTTGGGCTCGCAAGCTTGGCTCCGGCCTTCCTGTGCCAAGTCAAGCTCACGGTAGTCTCGGAATTGCCGATTGTTCCGAATGTACCCTCAACGTGATGGGATGTTGGTGCGGGTGCCCCGTGTCTGGCCGATGACCAGTCCAGAGTGCGACCAAAGCCAGCCGGGATGGGCTCCTGCTCAACTCATGAATAGAGGACAAGAGAATGCCAATTGACCGACATGAGTCCTGTCCAGCTAACTTGTTAGTCAATGTTTGTAGCGGCCTTAACCACAAATCCAAAAGTAACTTATTTTTATTTTTTGTGCCAAAGCGGTGAGCAAATGATTCCTCCAAAAGAATGAGCGCCGGGAATCGATTGTGACATCGAGTTTGGAGGTGAGCGAACCGGTTTGACCTAAAGCTGCCTGGAATTGCTGAAGTCACAACAGGTTATTTGTGTTGACAAGAAAAGCGTCACGATACAGCACTCGTGAAAACAAGAAAGCATTCCTGCCTCGAGTGTGGAGATGCTGATTTGGGAGAAAAAAAACAAGCTGCTGACTGACATCTGCGGCCACAACGCAGAGGAAGTGGCGAGAGGCAAAATTGCGCGCTGGTTTCAAATGGCACGAAGCGGGCACTTGACCATGATGTCGAAATTTCTTCTCCAGAGCTCACGAAAAGATGACAGCGCTCATACTTTGGGATCACTTGCAAGGTTGCATGCTGTCAGCGTCGGTATAGTTGAGTTCCGACGCTCTCGTGAACAAAGTGCAAGCAGAATCGTCCACACATGTCGTGACTACCTCCGCCACTGTAGTATTCACCGAGAGAAATGGCTGCGAGCAATGACGTTGGCGGGTTCAAAGTCTCTCTGGTGGGGATGAGTCACTCTTAGGTCACTAAGTGACTTTTTTTTCCGGGGTTGCAGCTTAGCGATGGCCTCTCTATGGCATTGTTGTGCTCTTGTTTTGTTTGACAGCCATAAATAGCTCTTTCGGTGCTGAGGCAGACCGTCCAAACGGACCGCTTCGGAGGGTGGGGGGGGGGTGATGACTCAGCACCGGGCGGGCCGCTTGGCTTTGTGCGAAATGATGTGGGCGGGGCCGCTGTGGAAACGCGCGTCTGTCGTCACACGCGAGGCGTTGAAAGAAGCTTGATGGACGCTCGTTTGAGTCCCTTGTAAAAACACGGCCTCGTCTTGACTGCGTGACAAAATCGGACGAGTCAGTGCGCACAGGAGCGATCCCTTGCTCGCGGTGGCAAAGTCGCGAGGCCGAAAGTAGAAGAGCCGACCCCATTTTCGATCGCGATCCCCCTTGGAAACGTTCAGACAGGAGAGATGCAAGCATATAAATCGAGCCATCGTCGAGTGTTTTCCTCTTCATGTCAAGATGATCACTGGTTTTCGTTGCTTTTGTCAAGTTTTGAAAGTGACGGCACATTTTACGTCAATACAAAAGTTCAATCCCGACCTTTACCAGAATATTTGTACAAGCACAACGGAATTACCAACGTTTTACTCTTTTCCGACTCACAATATAGCGCACAGAATATTTCGCAGAATCGTGGATTAACGATTAATATTTAGTCATATGATATCGGTAAATCAGTGATTAGTTTCATGTGCCACTTTAATATTAAACAAAAAAAACGATCAATGACAAAAATCCAAATGCGCAGTGCACTCATGGAAGGAGAAGGGAACGACCCCTGTGACGTCATGCCGTGGACTTGTCGCGCAAATCCACCGTGTGGGGCAGCACTTAGCCGCGGCGTGCCACCGTGGACACACACGCACACACACACCGAGTCAGTCACACTCCACCCCCCCCCCCACACACACACACACACTCATTTACAGGCTCACTCACTCTCTCAGTCAAGCACACGCACGCACCGCATCCATTGAAAGACGCACCGCGGAAGAAGCGGAGAAGTGTGACAGCCAAGTCGCGATTGCGCCGGGGGACAAGAAGTGGAAACTCTCCGCTCACGACACACTTGGCGTGTTGGCGGAAGCGGTAAGTCCCAATTTTCTCGCAGAACTCGTTCAGGTCACAGGGTAGGTCGCCGCGCGATTGTCGGCACGACGCGTTTCCTCCCGGCGGAAAGAGACGCCGCCGTGCCACTTTGGCTTTTAGGTCGCTTGGCGAACGCACGCAAACAAATCCCGCTCGGCGTTGGTGGTTGCGAGAGGCGCTTTCGCGTCTTTTCGCCTTTTCGACGCCTTCCTCCCGAAGACTTCCTTATCGAGTTCGGACAAACGGCCCTTTGAACATTCACTAAAAGACAGAACGACGAGAGCATTCGCTTTACAAATGGCCATTGGCGCCAGGTCGTCGCCTATGGCAACCGAGCCGGTGACGCTCACTTTGGACCGCAAACTTCTTCAGCTCGGCAAAAGAACGCGAAACATTTGTCGCACGGTACATTTGTGACCCTCCACAGAGGCAAAAGATTCCCCACCACGAATCGTTGCCCTCACTTTCATTTGATCATGAACCCTGTCCAACACTGAGTCGTCAACTGATTGACACATAGAACTTTTTTTACCCCCGCCCCCCCCCCAAAAAATATCGTCACTTTTTAATCCTAGCATCTTTTCAATATGTTGCCTTCTTGTGGTCATAACCATCCCATCCCATCCATTCTCACCATGACCCGTACGACACCCTGAACTGGTCGCCAGTCAGTCACAGGACACGGCCGAGACACCCACATTCATGCCATCATGGAGTGGGAAGCGATCCCCCGCTGACTTCGTGCAAGTCAGGCGAGTGTAGCGCGACTATCATATCGCCATCCCGTATGTTATTACCTTTGCTTGGGACACCCCCCCCCCGCCCCCCCGCTCCTCAATTGTGCTTAGCGTTGCATCATGGATGCTTTTGGAGGCAGGAATACTTCTTGTAAGTGCCTGCAGGCAGCGCCGTGTCAGTATTAGCTCTGCGGTATCATGGCTTGCTTTGAGGATGCCCTCTGGACAGCAGCTTATCAAGTCGTCGCCCATGTGCCGCGTTTACATTCATCTGCAGTTTTGGAAAGCAAAAGTCGCTCCGCCGAAAGAAGCTAGCGCTAGGATGACTTGCGGTGATTTGGCCACATGCTGAGAGTCACGCTCCCAGCTCACACGCGCTGTCCAAAGGCTTCCTGGCGCAGGAATAAATGCACGGTGCTGTTGATGTACAGGCAGGAAAAAAAAAAAAACAAACCCTTCTCGGTAGAAGGATTCCCGCTCTGCCGGTTGAGCAGGTCTGACGTCCTGTCAGCGAGATGAGAGCAGGAGTCGGATCACTGACTCTAGGCATGGAATTAGAAGGCGCCACTTGTCCGGGTACGTAGCAGCCATTTGTATGGATTCGCTTGAGAGCAAATGTTATTGATTCCCATTTCACCTCCGGTCGCCTCAGCGACAACAAGCGCGACAATGGACCCCCGGCTCTGTCCTTGTTGCCCTCTGCGTGCAACTCTTCTTGGCGCTCACGCGAATGCCGATCCAGAAGCGTCCGTCCATCTTCTGGAGCTCGCCCTCCCTGGGGCCACGGCATTCGTGCTTCATGGTGGATCAGGCCGCTAGCCCGTCCCGTTCATTGAGCCGGCTCTCAGTTTGAAAAAGGTCGCTTTCGGCAGCAACTGCCAGAGAAAAAAAAAAACAAAATAACCACATTCTGCTACAGCTTTGCCTTTGAAGTGCTTGCAGCACAAAGGGGCCCTCGCTCGCGTTTCCGTGAAGAACGTTGTTGAGTGCGGGTATTCCTTTGCGCGTGCGTGATGGCTCCTTTCCATGGACGAGCCAACGACTGTCATCGGAAAGTCACCCAACCCGCCCGACTGCTCCGGTGACTCTCTTGGGGCAAATAACAATATCCACCAATTGTCTGCGTCGCAAACCTTTGCTTCCTAAGAGCTTCTTGATTTTTTCACGATGCCTTTGATTTGGTTGCGTGCACAGTCCCCGGTGCACTTGACTGTTGCTCGTTGCGTAAGACATTACATGGCTCACTGCTGCTTTGAGCAACATGTGTCTGACATTCAAATTTCGAAGAAAAGTTGTTGACGCTGCAGGAACACAAACGCGCAGCATTTAGAAGCAAGGTTCGATCATGAAGTTTCCTTTCGTCTTGGGTTCCACCAGAATGCTTTCCTGTCCTGCCCCTTCCCCAATTGCATGGACTGTGCTCTGTGTTTCCAGTCCCCGCCCCCCCACACACACACTTCTCTCTCTCTCTTTTTTCCAAAGTAGCATGTCTTCATTTTTGCCATTGATTATTGAGAACTCAGAAGTAGTCTTTACAGTATTTGTATCATGTTTGTGTTGGAATACACTATAGCTGTGTGTGCGTGTGTGTGTGTGTGTGTGTGTGTGTGTGTGTGTGTGTGTGTGTGTGTCAATGAAGCCAGTGTTCTGAGAGTGCCCCACCGCCCCTCTCAGAACAAATTAGAGGGTGTAGGGCCTCGTCGGTCTGAGTGGGATTATTTGACGGAGGTGTGTGTGTGTGTGTGTGTGTGTGTGTGTGTGTGTGTGTGTGTGTGTGTGTGTGTGTGTGTGGTGCGTATTCTTGGCTTTAAATTCCATACCAGACCAATGGTGAATCTGTCAACACCGACTGTGTCTCAAGAAAGACAATTCGTAGCGCTCTCGAACATTAACGTTTATCAGGGGCGGGGGTAGAATTTAAAGATTGCAGCCGCTTTGGTCGACTTCCCCTAATCGAGTTCTCGCGGCGTAATCCTCAACTGCGAATTTCCTGGCAACTCACGTGGAGTGCTCCTTCCAAGCTCGAGTACGCCCAAATATCAGAAAAAGGCACTCCAGGGGGCTCCGATGCTCCGAGATCGACTTTGGAACTTGAATCATTTGAGCGACCGCACCTGCAGTCTCACACCCAAAAGGAAGGCGGCGGTGTCGATTCCGCACAGCAAAAGAAAGTTCAAACATCGGCTACACATGAGCGAGGAGCACCGACATCGGTCAGTGGCCGCCAAAATGCCCGCGGTGGCCCGTCACGAACACTCCGGAGAGAACGTCTTCATTTGCGGGGCCGATCGCTCATGAAAACACGACACGGCCGGTGGCGAAGTTGGCATGCCGTTCAAAGTCATGGACGATCCCACGCGGCGCTCGGTAAACCATCGGATCAATGGAAAGTCCAGACGCAATCGCTGAAACTCCACAAGAGTGATTTGAAAGGATTCTCTGGTCTTTCACGAGAAGTCCCAGTCGCAAAGTCGGACGGTTGGAGATCAGGTGGCGATTGGAGATTCTTCCTCCCGTAAGGGACATGAAATTAGGTGAAATTCCAAGTGAAACTTGTGCGATGGCTCGAATTTCTGACGACTTCCTGCCCTCGTTTTGGGATTTCCACTTTCTTACTTTTGACATTTTCCGTGTACCGTAGCCAAGAGGTAGTTTCCATCCTCGCTTGTTCCCGTCTGATGAGGCTGTCAGCAACCTTCCCTCCTGGTCTTTTTTGTTTGTGTGACTTGGGCGCAGCCTGCGTCTGGCAAACGTGACGGCCGATGTGATGTTTCCCTTGCAGGAGGCTGAGGTGAGCCGTCGCCATGGCGCCCTTCCTGCGCATCGCCTTCAATACGTACGATGTGGGGGAGCTGCCCCCTCCCTCCGAGCCGCCCTTTTGTGCCATCAAGATGAAGGAGTCGGTCAGCACGGGTACGTGCAGCGAGCGCAACGGCCCCTTGCCTTCGCCACACGCGGGCTCCGCCATCCGATACAGTGCGGCTCAGCCTCTGGGGAGGGACGCGCTTTTGGCGGCATGACGCAAATGTGAATATCTGTCGTGGATGGAACAAAAAAAACCCCAAAAAAACAATCGTGCAGCCAGCCAAATGCCACCGGTTGGTGTTCTTAATGTTGCGAGCTACTGTCTGCACTGGCCACCTCCTTCGAAGTGTTGCAGTCTCCCAAGTCGACGGAGGTTGTTTTCTTTTAAAGTCAAGCGCGGGGGCGGGCGCATCGGGGGCAACACCCCTTTTGTAGCCCACCTCCCAAATCTGTCATCACGGCCTGTCAAATTTTTTGCCCAATGATTTTTTTTTCTTTCTACAGTAAATCTGACCAATTGGTTCAAAGCAGGCCTTTGCATTCGGTTCAAAGGCTGGCGCCGGCCCACCGTGAGTCATATTCCAACCATTTGCTGCGTGAAAGGGGGCTCCTGCGCTTACCTCATCGAGTTGCTCAATCAAATTGTGGATGTCGTTTGTCGTTTGCCCAAACTACAAGCCCTTTTTTTCCCGCAGAGCGAGGGAAGACGCTGATCCAGAAGAAGCCCACTATTTATGCGTCGTGGAAGTCCACTTTTGATGCTCACATCTACGAGGGCCGCGTTCTCGAAGTGGTTCTGATGCAGAGCGCCGAGGAGGCCTTGGCCAAGGCTACCGTCGGCATTTCTGTGCTCGCCGAACGCTGCAAGAAGTCCAAGACCAACGGCTGTGCTGAGTTCTGGCTGGACTTGATCCCTTCTGGGAAGGTCCAAGTTGCTGTGCAATATTTGCTGGAGGATACTGACGCAGGTAAGGCAGCCTCGCCTTATCTTTCTCAATTCAAATGACCCATAGGCAAAGTTCCACCATTTTACTTATATGTGTATATATATTTTTTTTCCCTGCTGAAAATCGTCCTTTAAAAAAAAAAAAAAAAAAAAAAACTGGGCCCAGTAGTGACCCTTGGCCTGGAATGAAACCGAGGCTGCAGCCGTGAAGACCGACCGTAGGTTAGAAACGACAATTTGACAGTGCAGGTTTTGGCAGGGGTCCCGTAAGTTGACACGCAGGATTTGTTTTTGCGGGCCACATAAAATGACTCGGCGGGCCGAATTTGCTTACAGTCAACTCTTTTTTTTCCAATTGCCCCGCCCACTCTCCTTATCGCCTCGGTCTCTGCCCGTTTTGTTTACCGCTCTCACGCCCAAGTGACTTTTGACCCCCCGCGCGGTTGACCTGTTTCACAGTTGAGTTTTTCTGCGTTCATCCTCCCAAGTGTGGAATGTGTTGGCCGGGAGCACCGTCGCCAGTGCCAATCGACTATCTGTGTGTTGTATATTGTACCGGGTGAGGTCATTGGCTCCGCAAGAGGGGCACTCACCATATTTCAAGCCGCTCTCCGCCGGTGTGGTGCGGCCGTGTCGCACGGCAAGGTTAAGAGCGCGGTCCCAAATATGCTTTTGACACTTAGCTTGGGACCTCGTTCCAGTTTGCGCTCGTGCGCCACTAAATCCACAGATGATGTTTGCATCATGGCCGGAAATGTTTCACGTTTTTCTTTCTTTCCTTCTCACGGCGCGCCGAATGCCTCCAGCGGCAAACAAGCCCTCGGTGCGACTTGTTCCCGAGGATGGACTGGCAACCCTCAACAGGAGGAGGGGAGCGTTCAAGCAGCCCAAGCTTCACGTCATCAAGAACCACGAGTTCTCCGCCACTTTTTTCCACCAGCCCACCTTCTGCTCGGTGTGCAGAGATTTTCTCTGGTGAGTCCGGCCCGGGCGAACGCGCTCAGCGTACCGAAATGCAAAAGTAAAGCAATGACAACAAAGAAATTCATCGCCACTCATCGGGGAAATGTGTGTCTCTGTATGTTTCCTTCGCCCTTGAAAGTATGAGCATACTTCTACTCATTAGCTTGTCATGAGAACGATCTGAGCTGACTTTGTTCTAAAAGCAGTGACAACGTTTTTGGATGGTCCTAATCTCTGAAACAAAATGGTGTTGTGTGTGTGTGTGTGTGTGTGTGTGTGTGTGTGTGTGTGTGTGTGTGTGTGTGTGTGTGTGTGTGTGTGTGTTCTCCCCCCCTCGCCATATCCATTCAGGGGACTCAAAAAGCAAGGCTACAAGTGCAGACGTGAGTTTTTTTTTTTCCCCCCTGCCGTTTTTCACAATGACACAAGTTGATCTTCTTTGCAATTTGACTTCCCAATACCTTCAAATTGGGACACGTTCTTTTGTTCATGTATTCCACCCAGAATGCAATGCAGCAATTCACAAGAAATGCATCGAGAAGATTATCGGCAGGTGCACCGGAACCGCAGCAAACAGTCGGGACACGATGGTGAGTAGTGAAATTCGTGTCGGTCGGCCTGCCTGTCTATAGATATCTGTATCGATGTGGAGATATATCGCTATATTTGTCATATAGCTCGATGTACAGGTATATGTGTATGTATCAAACTGTTTTTTCCTCATTGAAATTACTTTGTCGATTATGCCAGAAATGAATTAGGAATGGGTTTTTTTTCCCCCCGACAAATCAAAAAACGTTGCTACCGAGGCTTTGAGTACGACAAGACGATGTGAACGTTGCGAGGGTTTCTGTAAACGATCGGGTTGTCGCATTCCGCGGATGTCGTGAAACATTGGGCACAGCGTATCTGCGTACAGTTCCAGAAGGAGCGCTTCAAGATTGACATGCCGCATCGCTTCAAGTACAATAACTACCGAAGCCCCACGTTCTGCGACCACTGTGGCAGCCTGCTGTGGGGTCTCTACCGACAGGGCCTGAAATGTGAAGGTGGGTCCGCTCAACGGTTGTCTTGCCACATTTTGATGGAGAAGGACGACATTTTCCTCCACGCTTGCGACGGCAGCCATCCCTCTTTTGTGCTTTTCACGTCAGATTGCGGCATGAGCGTCCACAGTTATTGTCAGAAAAAAGTGGCCAATCTGTGCGGGATCAACCAGAAGCTACTGGCCGAAGCGCTCTCTCAAGTCTCGCAGGTTTGTACGAACGCCACATTTAAACGGATTGTCGATGGCTCGCTCTTTTGTGCCGGCCGTGACAACTACTTGACATCCTAGAGATCCCTGAAGAAGTCGGATAGCTCCGGCGCGGCAGATATTGGGATTTACCAAGACGTCAGCGCAGCGGCAGACCCTGGTGGTAAGATGTTGTCATTGCGATTTAAGACTGCTCAAAGTTCACATGCATGTCTTGATTTTTTTTGTTGTTTTTTATATTGTGACGCGCAAACTCTCGCAGCCGATAAGAATGGCAAAGCGAGCGAGGGCCCGAGCTCAGCCGCGCCTTCTGTTAAGCGGACGCAGCTGACCGTCGATCACCTGGTCTTCCACAAGGTCCTGGGCAAAGGCAGCTTCGGCAAGGTGGGTGGGCCCCGCGCTCTAGATCGCTCAGGCCTGAATCGACCGACGGCGGAGGAGCGCGCTTCCGTCGGCAGGAGGTGCCGCGTTCCGACGCTCGTCTCATCTCACCGGTTTACGGCTGCGACTCCTCAGGTGCTTTTGGCTGAGCTGAAGGGCCGGGACCAGTTCTACGCCGTGAAAGTTCTCAAGAAGGATGTGGTTCTCATGGATGACGACGTGGAGTGCACAATGGTGGAGAAGAGAGTCCTCTCCCTGGCCTGGGAGAACCCCTTCCTCACCCACCTGTATTCCACCTTCCAGTCCAAAGTGAGCACGCCGAGCGCGACGTCGCACATCGTCCCCGGCAGCCCTTCGCGGCGAGGCGGGCCGCCACCGTCCTTTTCGGCCGTCCCCGGTCCCTCGGACCTCGGCGCACGCTTTCTCATGCCTCTGAGTTGATGAGGTGGTGCCGTGTGCCCAGGAGCACCTCTTCTTCGTGATGGAGTATCTCAACGGCGGCGACTTGATGTTCCACATCCAAGACAAAGGCTGCTTCTCGCCCACCAGGGCCACGTGAGTGGGAATCCGTCGGTCTGGGCTCGTGCGCCGTGCTTCAATTCACCCGCCCGTCCTCATCACTGTGCTTCAGATTCTACGCCGCCGAGATCATCGTGGGCCTGCAGTTCCTCCACTCCAAGGGCATTATCTACAGGTCAACACTTGTCAAGGGCCATGGGAAATAGAACGAGCGGCCTGTTTACGGGCCGCGTCCCCGAGGCGGATGCCGGGCGAGGGCGGCTGAGCCTCGGCCTCACGCCAACGGGTCTTGTCGTCATCCGCAGGGATCTGAAGCTGGACAACGTGATGCTGGACAAGGACGGGCACATCAAAATTGCAGACTTCGGCATGTGTAAGGAGAACGTGTTTGGAGACGCCCGAGCCTCCACCTTCTGCGGGACACCGGACTACATTGCCCCTGAGGTATTGAAGGTCGCCGAGACCAAAGCCTTTGCCCGCGACGGGCCTCTTATGCCCTATTTGCGCCGTAGCAAAAACCCAACGGCCACTCGTCCGCTCGCGTTCCCTTCTCGCAGGCTCGGGAAGTGACGTGCTTCCTCCTAAGTGGTCTCGCGCTTCCATCTCTCCCGGCAGATTCTCCTAGGGCAGAAGTATACTTTCTCGGTGGACTGGTGGTCTTTTGGTGTGCTTGTCTACGAAATGCTGATTGGCCAGTCGCCTTTCCAAGGCGACGACGAAGATGAGCTGTTTGAGTCCATCCGGTCGGACACCCCTCACTACCCTCGCTGGATTCCCAAGGAGGCCAGGAAGTTGCTGGAACTGGTGATTGGACTCCACGCCTTCTCTTTTAATGGGCCTTGCGCAAAAGGGATATGCCATTCAGGAATCATGCGCCGCAAAGTGGCGGCAGGTCTTGTCAGACTTCAGCTTAGCCGGAACATAAAGGACTTAGGTGTGTCCGGCTTTTCCCGGTTTCTTTACCGCCACCAGTGATGGCGACGTGTAATAGTGGAGCTCCAACTGAAAACGCAAAGAGCCTGTCTACTTGCTTTAAAGCGAGCAATGTCATCCATCCATCCATCCATCCCCCAACGTGGCCCAGGTTGCTGCTTTAAAACGAGCAATGTCATCCATCCATCCATCCCCCAACGTGGCCCAGGTTGGATGTGAAAACATCCAACCTGGACAGCATTGCGCTGTCTTGCTTGCAAGTCTCAACGGCCATCTTCTTCTCCTCCCTCCTCTTTGCAGTTGTTTGAGCGAGATCCCACTCGCAGACTCGGCGTGGTGGGAAACATCCGGGCGCAGCCCTTCTTCAAAAGTGTGAACTGGAGCGCTCTGGAGAGGAGAGAAGTGGAGCCCCCTTTCAAGCCCAAAGTGGTGGGGGAACCAAGCGTCGTGATGTTCTCTACTCATTTTGCGCCGCTCCCCCATACGGTGGCCCCGGCCCGTACCTGTATTCTCGACTCACTTTCTGACTCTCCCGCCGTCCACAGAAATCCCCCAGTGACTGCAGCAACTTTGACAGGGAGTTCCTGAGCGAAAAGCCGCGACTCTCCCACGTTGACAAGAACCTCATCGACTCCATGGACCAGTCGGCTTTTTCTGGCTTTTCCTTTGTCAACCCCAAACTGGAACATTTGATAAGCAAATGAAAAGCCAAACCGGCTGCACCGGGACCTCGGTCACTGACTTACACTCTGTTTTTTGCTTTGTTTTCATGGTTACCGAATACCTCACTCGGAGGAAAAGAACTCAGGCCTGTCACGTGTAATGAAGGGGACATACTTCACATACCGTTGTAACTATGATCAAATGTGAAGGGTTTGTTAGGTTTTTTTTTTGTAACATTTGTGTGATCGTTTTAACCATACAATTATTTCTAACCCGATCATCGATGTACCGGTACCATATCCATTGTAACTATGATCAAATGTGAAGGGTTTGTTTGTTTGTTTGTTTGTTTTTTGGTAACATTTGTGTGATCGTTTTAACCATACAATTACTTCTAACCCGATCATCGATGTACCGGTACCATATCCTGAAATTGACAAATAGTCACACTCATCATTTCTACTACATCCTGTGAATATGCAGTTATTATTGATCGAAATAAAAGCACTATTCCACATCGCTAATGGATAATCCTTCCCCAGATGATTTCATTGAAAAGAAAAATGCACATTACATAAATCTCTTGAAACATGCTGACTTCCTACTCTGACTATAACACTGGAGATGCTGTAGGCAAGCGGCACACCGTAAATGTACCAATGTCCTCCGAAACAAATAAAAGATTCATTTATTCTTGGTCAGTTTTCCGCTGTCTGAAACCTGCACACTTAGAACTATAAGCACACCCGGTGGTTAAAATCAGCATTGGAGAAGTAGTACCCGGAGTCAATATTTGTTTGCATGGTCGTGTTTTGTGTTGGAATGAGCATTTAAAGTGCGTCGGTAACTTGGAACGTTGTCACCAAGCAAATATGGAGATGAATGCGTTTCCCTTTCCTTTCTTAAATGATACACTGACGTCTGATTATGAATAAACATTACTTTTTTCCATCCATTTCCTGGATCGTATTTTCTCCGAGTTTTGGCTGTACTATTTCTTAAATGATACACTGACGTCTGATTATAAATAAACATTCCTTTTTTCCATCCATTTCCTGGATCGTATTTTCTCCTTCACTCAATCGGGGTACGTGGGGGATTGCTCGCAGATTGTCAGTCGTTTGACCGCCATCTTGAAGTCTTTTTTTTTTTTTTTTGTCAGTGGTGGGAACTCAGCTCGACTGTACTTAAGGGGGAAGCCAAGTAAGCAATTTGAAGAGGTAGGTCAAGAAAAGTTTTGACTTTCCCTTTAAGTAGATATTGCAGGTTTCTGCACCGAAGTAGAGTACAGTATTTCATTTTCACACAACTCAACGTGACTCCCTGCTTTTGAAAATCCTGTAGATGATGTTACTTTCTACTCACTGTGAGAGAAGTAGGCAGCCTGTTGTAATGTGAGGATGACAAAAAAGACGTCTTTCGAGAGAAGTCAAATCAACTGCAATGAGATTTTGATGGCGATCTTGGGCTGCGGGGAATGGGTAAAAGGCCTACTCGGACACGTTTCGGATCCTCCACCGTATTCGGAGAGGCAAGATCATCCCCAACTCAGGAACGGGTTTTGACTTTGTTGCCTTAGTTTACGCGCTCTGCTGGCACCCATCGGCCGGGTGCTGTGACTGCACCCGTCGACTCAACGTGAAGTCGATGGCAGGCGAGCAGACATTCCTGCAGCGATCCGTCCTCCGTCGTCGGCAACGCGCGATCGTCTGGCGTGCTGGTGGAAATGAAAAGAGATGGCCATGTGAGTGAACAGCCAAACTCGAGTTCATCCGTCTCTGCGCGCACTTACCTTTCTTGCTTCCTTTCTTTCTTCATTGATTGGAAATGGAAGTTACCACGAACAAATGTCAGGTGACAACCCCCACCCGTCCTTAAAAAATATATCCAGTTGATGACTTCCTTTTGCGTTAAAATGGCAGTTCAAATCACTGCCCCTCGTTGTAGTTTTCACCAAAACACTCTTCGCAAAATGAGTGAATTGGGAAATGAATTCTTCAAGGCCCTTGGTGCAAAAATTGGATCGTTTTTGCTGCAGTAAGCTCGAGTTTATGACAATATTGCGCTTCCGTCTCAGCGCGCGATAAATTCGATATGGAGTTTTTCCCCCCTTTTGTTTGTAATTGGCATCCTTCGGGGTTTTTCAATTGAGGCGATCGGGAGGCAGCGATGGCGGCCTTGCGGTGTCCAAGTGAACAACAAAACCTGTTTCCGCCGTAAACATACACACATCCAAATAATCTGCTTTGCGTGTTGGTCGCGAACAAAGAAAGTCCATTTTGTGACGCAGAACGAGTGAACTTGGAGCGTTGCATTGGCGGCGGCCGTGCACATTTCCAGCAGTTTCTCCCTCCCGCACGTCTGTTCTCTCCCCTCCCCTCCCCTTCTCCTCCTCCTCCTCCTTCTCCTTCTCCCCCCC